GGACGCACATTGTTCCAAAGCCAAGACAGCCAAGAGACAGGCTCTGAATCTGGACCAACAGTGTTCTGAGGACCAGGCACTTTAGAGACAAGCTCTGGATCTAGATCAACAGTGTTCCGAGGACCAGGCACTTCAGGGACAGGCTCTGGATCTGGATCAACAGTGTCCCGAGGACCAGGCACTTCAGGAACAGGTTCTGGATCTAGATCAACAGTGTTCTGAGGACCAGGCACTTTAGAGACAAGCTCTGGATCTAGATCAACAGTGTTCCGAGGACCAGGCACTTCAGGGACAGGCTCTGGATCTGGATCAACAGTGTCCCGAGGACCAGGCACTTCAGGAACAGGTTCTGGATCTAGATCAACAGTGTTCTGAGAACAAGGCACTTTAGATACAGGCTCTGCATCTAGATCAACAGTGTCCCGAGGACCAGGCACTTCAGGAACAGGTTCTGGATCTAGATCAACAGTGTTCTGAGGACCAGGCACTTTAGAGACAAGCTCTGGATCTAGATCAACAGTGTTCCGAGGACCAGGCACTCCAGGGACAGGCTCTGGATCTGAATCAACAGTGTCCCGAGGACCAGGCACTTCAGGAACAGGTTCTGGATCTAGATCAACAGTGTTCTGAGAACAAGGCACTTTAGATACAGGCTCTGGATCTAGATCAACAGTGTTCCGAAGACCAGGCACTTCAGGAACAGGCTCTGGATCTGGATCAAAAGTGTTCCGAGGACCAGTCACTTCAGGAACAGGTTCTGTATCTAGATCAACAGTGTTCCGAGGACCAGGCACTTCAGGGACAGGCTCTGGAACTGGATCAACAGTGTTCTGAGGACCAGGAACTTCAGGAACAGGCTCTGGATCAACAGAGTTCTTTAAATCAGACACCCCAAGTACAGGCACTGGATCAACATTGTTTTGGAGACCAGACACTCTAGGGACAGGCACTGGATCTGGATCAACAGTGTTCCATAGACCAGCCACTTTAGAGACAGGCTCTAGATCTGGATCAACAGTGTTCTGAAGCCCAAACACTCCAGAGACAGGTTTTGGATCTGGATCAACAGAGTTACAGAGACCAGACACTCCAGGGACAGGCTCTAAATCTGGATCAACAGAGTTACAGAGACCAGATACTCCAGGGACAGGCTCTAAATCTGGACCAACAGAGTTCCAGATCCAAGAAGGTCCAGCGACATTCTCTGTATCTGAATTAGTCTCTAGGTCTGGATTAGTTGTTTGTGGATTCTCCTGTGGTGTTTGTGGTTCCACGCTTATCTGTCTGCAGCAGAGGAAAGGTTTCTTTATGGCCTTCCACACTCTCTTGAAGAAAGCACGGATTTTGCTCCACCTGCTGCTGCCTTGTATTTGAATTCCTAAATTGAAAAGAAGACAAAAAAGAAAACATGACAATCTGTTATTGTTTAGGCTATTAAGTATATATAAATAAAACATATAAAAAATAACAAGATATAGGGTGACTTTTCCCAAAGTGGGGACAAGCTGTACTGTTTTTATAACCCTAAATAACAAAATTAGACATAAGAGTCATTTAAAAACTTAATTTTGAAATACTTAATTTTCTGATGAATTTTGGTATAAAAAGGAAATCAAATGATGTGTTTAAGCTATTCCTAAACATACATACAAACATGGTCAAAATTATTAGCCCTCTTGTGATTTAATGAGATTTTTTTCATCACGTTTTTAAACTTAAGTTTAAAAAACTATTTTACAAGATACTAGTATTCAGCTGAAAATGCTTAAAGACACAACTATGATAATTAGGTTGACTAGGCAAGTTAGAATAATTAGGCAATTCATTGGACAGCAGTGGTTTGTTCTATA